CACACACACACACACACACACACACACACACACACACACACACACACACACACACAATAAAAGAAAGTAAAAAGGTTGACCCAGTACTGACTGCACACACACAAACACAATATTTATATATAAATATGTTTATGATTCATGCTAGCTTTGAAAATAGTTCCTATTTTCATTACTATACAAATTGACCACTTGTTACAAATTTTGCATTACTTTTTAATATATTGTAAATAAATGATGGGGATTGTTTGGAATGGCTTCTAGAATGGTTGACTTGAAGTGTTTTGCTGCTGTGGGAGTATCTGATGCGCCTACTTTTGTATCTTCGTGTGTTGTGAGATAGCAGTATGGATGCTATGGGTGGCTGCTTTTAATATTTATTTCACTGTGTGTAATTTAAGGGAACATCAGCCTGTTTCTTCTGCTGCTTCTTTTGGCTACTCCCTTTAGGGTTCGCCACAGTGGAGCATCTGCTACCATCTAACTGTATCCCTAGCATCCTTCTGGCCAGTCCCAATGAAAATCTTAACATCTCAACTTCTAGTTTGACCTGTATTTTGGTAGTTCCACTGTCTCCATATGTCTATACATCATAGCAAGTCTCACTACCACCATGTAAACCTTCCTTGTCACGCTCACTGCTATCCTTCTGTCACAAATCAACACAGAAACTCGTCGCACTCACTTCACCGTGCCTGCACTCTCTTCTTGACCTCTCTTGTGCACTCTGTTGCTTTGGATGATTGACCCCAGGTATTTTAACTCCTCTATTTTATACTATCTCTCTCATTCACACACGTATTATGTCTTGCTTCTGTGGATCAGTCTCTGACTGGCCATTCAGATGGGTGACAAATAAAAGAAAAAATTTGAAACTTTAACTACTAAAGGCATCTGTTGACTCTGTTATGTTGTGGGAGGCATACCGCTGGCAATATTTGGGTCTACTTGTCTTTGTAGAGGTAAAGCACTTCCTAGTTTATCCTTTACCATGTGAAACATTTCTCTTCTGCAGCTTTTATTTGACAGACAAGCACAACGCAAAGTGAAACACAAAACTAAACTATAAGGGCAATAAAATAAAATACAATAGGAAAACCAGATAAAATCAATGGATCTCCACCAGGGGTCACTTAAAAATACTGACATGCATGAAAATGTTGTACACATATGCTGTGGTTTTCCTAACAATGAGATCTCAACTCAGCTGAACACAATTTGTCATGTTCAGCAGCATTATAGAAGGGTTTAATATTTTCTCATTTGAATGTTGCTGTAGTTTTAATGCAAAAGTAAATTGAGGATGCAGTGAAACAAAGTCAATTTGCAGAAGTTGAGGAACCTCTACTCTGTAACATCATTGAGCCAGAGACTGATGCAGGACCAATAAACATCCTGCAGTCTGTTACAATTCTTTGCATGCCATTTTTTGTGTTCTGGTGCCTCAATCAAATTTAGAGTATACGTCTAGCTACAAGTCTTAAAACAGGTTTCTGTTAGTTTTAAAGTGATGTTGCTGCTGGACTTTAACATCTTTCCGTCATGAACTGACACCAGCTTGAAGTCTTTCGTCTGCTGCGTTCGGTTTGACAGAGCATGTCCTTTGTCTTTGTTTCTTTGTGCTTCTCCAGAAAAGTTTAGACAGCAAAATTAGGAACAACTGTCTGCTTTGAAATGATTGTAGTAATTCTTGTTATTGTTGTGTTTTGTTTGTTTGTTTGAAAAGTGGTTTCTTTCTTTCTTTATAGAAATTCAAGATTCAAGGAATATTGCAGTATGTCCAAAATGGGAATACTTGGATATCTAAAATATGTTCTTGTTACCCACTGTTCCATAAACAAATGTATTTTGCACTGCAGTCAGCAGATTTTATATAAATAACTCTCTCACTGAGCTAACACAGCCAATCCCTCAGCATGTTTGTACTCTCTGCTCATATTGCCTTCATATTAAATCATTTTTCTTTTTAAAGAACTTATTTTAACATTGCAGTCAACAACAAACAAATCCTCCCTAACAAAAAAAAAGTAACTTCAAGGCCAAATTGCATTTTAGTTCTTCACGCCAATAGACGGAATTTGAAGGTAGTGACACATCTAAAAAAAAAGAGGTTTGGAAGAACAAAAGGCGTTCA